TCTGTTTTTCTTTTCCTCCTTAATCATGGAAATTTTATAACTCTCGTGTTTGCTCGGTGTCTTCTTTATTTTAGCTTCGGGGAAAGTAACGAATGAATGAATGAATAAATGAATAAATGAATGAATGAATGAATGAATGAATGAATGAATGAATGAATGAATGAATGAATGAATGAATGAATGAATGAATGAATGAATGAATGAATGAATGAATGAATGAATGAATGAATGAATGAATGAATGAATGAATGAATGAATGAATGAATGAATGAATGAATGAATGAATGAATGAATGAATGAATGAATGAATGAATGAATGAATGAATGAATGAATGAATGAATGAATGAATGAATGAATGAATGAATGAATGAATGAATGAATGAATGAATGAATGAATGAATGAATGAATGAATGAATGAATGAATGAATGAATGAATGAATGAATGAATGAATGAATGAATGAATGAATGAATGAATGAATGAATGAATGAATGAATGAATGAATGAATGAATGAATGAATGAATGAATGAATGAATGAATGAATGAATGAATGAATGAATGAATGAATGAATGAATGAATGAATGAATGAATGAATGAATGAATGAATGAATGAATGAATGAATGAATGAATGAATGAATGAACGAATGAATGAATGAATGAATGAATGAATGAATGAATGAATGAATGAATGAATGAATGAATGAATGAATGAATGAATGAATGAATGAATGAATGAATGAATGAATGAATGAATGAATGAATGAATGAATGAATGAATGAATGAATGAATGAATGAATGAATGAATGAATAGATGAAGGAAAATGAAAGAAAGATTAAATAATAAATAAGATTATTAGTAAGCTTCACCGTCTGATTTTTTATCACTCAGCCGTTCTTGGCCCTCCTTGCTGTTCTCTTTTTTGACCATTTCTAAATCCATTTTTTTAGCAAGTTTCTTCTTATATTTTGCTATTTGAAAAAATATATTTGTCTAGATCATTGAATTTTAGCGCGTACATTGTGTGTGTGTGTGTGTGTGTATGTATGTGTGTGTGTGTTTGTGTGTCTTTCTGTGTGTGTGTCTTTCTGTGTGTGATTGTGTGTGTTTTTCTCTGTGTGTGTGTGTCTTTCTGTGTGTGATTGTGTGTCTTTCTGTGTGTGTATGTGTGTGTGTCTCTATTTATGTGTCTGTGTGTCTTTCTGTGTGTGTTTGTGTGTGTTTCTCTGTGTGTGTGTCTCTATTTATGTGTCTGTGTGTCTTTCTGTGTGTGTTTGTGTGTGTTTCTCTGTGTGTGTGTGTCTGCGTATGAGTGTGTGCGTGTGTGTGATGTATGTGTGTGTGTGTGCTTCTATAATTTAACAACCAACCTTTTTTATTGCCTTCCAAAGAACTGTAGAAATCCTCTAGTTATGAAAAGCAATAACAATTGATCAATATTTAAATAATAATAATAATTATTATTATTATTAATTACTATTAATTATTATTATTTAATAATAATATTAATACTTAATAATAATATACTTAATAATAATATTAAAACGATAGAATATCGATTATTAGAAAGACCGGACACCTAAAACATTACTCCATCTCATTTTTGAGCAAATTTGTATGGACAAATATCCCGATAAATTATATTATATTATATATTTATATAATTATCATAATTATATTATATTATTGCTATTATTATGTCATAATTATGAAAAAAATATTACGAATTATTACCAAGTGACTCATCATCAAGTTGCTCCAATCCTAAATACGAATTTTATTAATTAACAACAAACTAATTAAACACACACACAAACAAACAAACACATACACACAAACACACACATACACACAAACAAACACATATACACAGACACATACACACACACACACAAACGAACACACACAATTATAAACGCAACTCACGTACAAACACATAGACAGTTTCTACAAAAAAAAAAAATCTCATGCTAGACAGCATATAAGATTCAGTTAATGTAACACGGCGAAAAATTTAGCCAAACCCAAATCCATCTGGAATAAAATTTCCTCAAATATGTTCCAACTCAAAATGTTTATCAGAATTTTAAAAACAAGGTAACAGGCATTGTTATAAAAATTGTCTATTTGTATTGTGATTGATACCATCATTTTGCATGCTGTAATAGTGCCAGTGTATCTCAGATTCTGATTTTTTAAAATAATGATAAAAATAATAATAATACATACATACACACTTTTGATCTCATCTTTTTCAATTTTTTTCTGAATGAAAAATGAGACAAAGATGAAGAAGATGAAGAAGATGCTGGTTCCAATGACGAAGTAAGCGGCTTTCCGGCTCTCTGTCTCACTCAAGCTCAAAGCTCTGTCCGTGTAATCCACTATCCTTCCATTGACAATGGCTGTTTGTGAAATTCGTTTCGTAATGTTATAGCTTATTCCGATATAATTGTTGTTGTCATTATTGGTTGGTTGGTTGGTTAGCTCAGTCGTTAGAGGCGCTATGTCTCACGTTGCTATGACGCAGTCACCTTGTTCAAATGCTGTCTGTTCAAAACCTGAAAAACTATCTATCATAAGTTGTGAGTAAATGATTCGTGCTGGCGCGCGCCAACAAAATGTGTCTGATTGAATAAAAATTAAAATTTGAGTTTGAAAATAATGTGCTAGTAATTGTAAAAAAAAATTATAATAATAAACGCGTCGTAATAAGTATCCGTACATTTGACATCCTCGACGCCGTACATGAACTGTAACTCATTTTCAAAATGAACATCCCACTCGAATCTATAGAGCACCATTTCGACATCAGACTTATTCAGTCTGGAGACTGCAGAGATATCTATGTTGATTTCTAAACTCTCATTGCCGTTGTACGTCTGGCTGGCTATACTGGATGCATTCTCGTAAACTTGAACGGTGGTTTTCAGCCACTTCGGCCCAACAACCAGCCTCATTTCGTAGTGAATTTTGGAGGTACTTTTCAGGTGACTTTCATAGAATTCTTTAGAATGATTTGATAGAAATTTAAAGGAAAAAGTTTATATAAAATTAAATTTTAATTTTGATAAACATTTTTTTTACCGTTTGTTTCAAAATTTGGATTAAGATAAAACGTTTACCGTGGCTGATTTCATTATAAACCAGTAAAAATAATCGTAAATCGAAAAATCTATCAATAAACTTCAACAATAATAAAAATACGAATAATCGCACTGATAAACTATAGCCACAACAACAACAACAATAAGGATAAAATATAAACAAAAACTTGAAAAAATCTAGCAAAACCTTTAAAAGTAACAACTATAATGATCTCTTTAGTAGCACACGTAAAGTAATGCTCTCCAGAGCTACTTCTATCTGCAATGATCGAGACATGGTCCAAATTTTCAAAGGTCGAACATCTGTTAGCCCTCAAAAACTCAAAAATTATCGTAATGCCCTTCTCTACATAGAGAACGTCATTCTTTTCCTCTTCTACTACCAAAGGATTTTGTTCGTAAACTATTAAGGTCGAGTACTCGTCTGAAATTTTGTATTTTGGTTACTAAGTAATGTTGTTAAAGTAGGTATCTGCTTGGAATTTTGGTTATTAGAATTATATATTAGTGTAATAGTAGTAGTAGAAGTATTACTAGTAGCGGTAGTAGTATTGGCTGTAGTAGCAGTAGTAGTAGCTATAGGAGCTGCAGTAGTAGTATTATCAGTGGTAGTAGTGGCAGTAGTAGTAGTAGTACTAGCAGTAGTTGTAGTAGTAGCAGTATTAGTATTAGTAGTGGCTAATAGCAGTAGTAGAAATTGTTGTTGTAGTAGCAGCAGTAGCAGTAGTAGCGTTAGTAGTATTGGTATGAGTTAAATAATAAAAATACATACTTACCTTTAGTTGCCAATAAAACAAAAATGATTATTACTATTCGAATATGCATAGCGAGCGTTTTTGCTGCATCGTAAGATAATTTATTACTGTTATAAATATTAAATTTTATTATTGACTATAAGTCTATGGTTAAAAATGTTATTCATCATCATTACTAAAGTAAAAATGCATATTAATTTTAAAGAAAATTTGTTTTTGTTTACAAAAAGCAATGCTGATTGTTTATTTAGTAGGGCATAGATTTTTATTCAAGATCTATTATCACCATTGGAGTCTTTTTCAGTCATAAGTAGCAGCAGTAGTAGAAGAAGCTGCAGTAGTAGTAGTAGTAGTAGCAGCAGTAACAGTAGCAGTAGTAGCTTCTAATACTTTCACTGCTACCATTAGCAGTTGTAGTAATAGGAGTGTTGTCTGTTGTATTAGTAATTGTAGCAACAGTTGTAGTAATATTTTCAAATAAAATTTTGCAAAATTTAAAGAAATTTCTTTCGCCAAACTAAACCAAACGTTAATTTAATTTTTTACTTATTAACTTTAAAAATTTCACACTTATAACAATGCTGTTAAGAATGTATTGAAATATTGATGTTTTGTCTTTGTTGTTTTTATTGATGTCGTTGTCGTTGTTGATGTTGTTGTCGATAGTTTTTTTAATGTCATATTGTTGTTAATTCTGTTACCGGTGATGCTAACTAACATTAATAGCAAAGGCTCTTCTTGCCACTTAATATGTTTGCCATTGGGGGGAAAAAAGGTTTATCCATTATCATTTTAATTTCATTATTAAATTTATTAATTTTAGCAATTCACTCATTCATTTATTTATTCATTCATTCATTTGCTCATTTGCTCATTTATTCATTTATTCATTCATTCATTCCATTTTTGTTGTCAGCTGATCGGTGACCATGAATGTCTTCTATGTTAGAATTTTTGGTAGCGGTTCTGGGTAAGGTTTAGGAAATCTAGATGATATATTAAAGTGGAAAATTAATCATTCTGTAAATTCAAAATTCAATTAAAATGTTGTGTGTGTGTGTGTGCATGTGTTTGCGTGTGAGAAAGAGAGATAGAGAGAGAGAGAGAGAGAGAGAAAAAAAAGAGAGAGAGAGTACCAGCAACTGACTAATTTGTTTATATTTTTCTTTTGTTTATTTCTTTATCATGTTTGGCAGTCGCAGTAGCAGCAGCAGCTACTACCATGTGTCGTCGTCATCTTCGTCATCGTCAGAACTATTTTCTTGTTTGTTACTCTTGACGTGAGCAAGTTTTTGAACCTCCAGTTCATCATCACTTTCGTCATCATCACTTTCGTCATCATCGCTTTCATCATTTTTGCTAGTTTTTCTATTATTTTGAGTGTGAGTCGCCGGAATTTTAATCTCAACCTTATCAGACGGCGATCCAGTTTCTGGTTTTGCAGCTGTTGGTGGAACTGCTAATGTTGTTGTATTGGCTTTAGTCGTTGCAGCTCTAGCTTTAGCAGCTGTTCTTGGTTTGGTAGGCTTAGCTTGGCTGGCTTTGCTTGCAGCAGCTTTGGTTGTTCTGTTTGGAAAAAATTTGTTAGGTTTGGTTGTTGTGTGAGTCTTAGGTGTAAAAGGAGGTTTGTGAGATTTGGCAGGTGCGCTGTCTTCTTTGACAGATTTTTCAGAAGTTTTGAATGTTTTCGAGATGCCGAGACTTGAAGTTGTTAGTTCTTGCGAGTTGCTGATGCGTTCGGAAGAGGTGCTACCTTGGAAGAATGAAAAAATATCTAATTTATTCAGCCCGTCGGTAAAATTTATTCGTACATGCATAAATATTAACAATTCAATAATATCCGTCAATCGATCAATCAATCAAACATTTATATAGCTCAGTTTATAAAAAACAAGTTCACATAAATCATCTTGGCAATGCTTGGATGTTAAAATGGCTGATTAAAAACAATTTAAGCGAGTTAGCTCAAATGGTATAAGTGCCATATCTGGCGCTGTTATTAAGCGATAGCATGGATCGAATCCAAAATTGGTGCGAATGTTACATATACTTCGTGTGGTGTAGACTTTGTGTGGTATGGACATTGTGTGGTGTTAACTAATTAATTAATTTTATGAAAAATTGGATGAATTAATTAATAAATTAATAAATTAATTGATTAATATTAGTTTTATTCTTTATAAAATGTTAAAGTTGTACTTTTTGGTGTAACAATTTTTACGTTTTGTAAGAATGTCTCTGCAAAAAATTTTATACATAATGTTATAATTATTGTTAATTATTATTAATTATTATTATTATCATTATTAATAGTAGTAGTAGTAAATAGTAGTAAAAGTAGTAGTAGTAGTAGTAGTAGTAGTAGTAGTAGTAGTAGTAGTAGTAGTAGTAGTAGTAGTAGTAGTAGTAGTAGTAGTAGTAGTAGTAGTTGTTGTTGTAGACGCAGCAGCTGTAGACGTAGCATATTAATTGTGTGATATTATTACAATATAATAATTTAACTTTTATCATATGAATTATCATATGAATTATATTATTAATTATTATAATTATAATTATTATATTGTATGAACTATATCATATGAATTATATTTCATTTAAAAAGTATTTGAATAGAATTTGAGAAAAAAATTTGATACCCTCCCACTGTTCAACCGCTTGACTAATTTCTTTGCGATTAAAACATTAAATTATTAGTTATATTAACAAACATTATTATTTACACGAATTTATACATATAATATAAAGGAATAATGAAGTTAATTAAACAGCATACACATGTGTTGTGTGTGTGCGCGCGTGTGTGCGTGAGTGTGTGTGTGTGTTTGTGTTTCGTTCACTGAAATTACAAATTACATCACCATGTATGTGTGTGTATGTGCGTATGTGTGTGTGTGTGTGTGTGTGTGTGTGTGTGTGTGTGTGTGTGTGTGTGTGTGTGTGTGTGTGCGTGTACGCTATACTATACACACTTGCACATACATACACCGATGCATACACTCACACAAACACACACACGTATACACACACACGTACACATACATCAGGCCTCACCTTTCAATTCAGATCTATCATGTATTTTCTTTCGCACGAAGACAGCTATGCAGACTAGGAAGACTAAACTGCTTATGATGGCTATGATCATTATCTCGTAGTTATTTTTCCTGTCTGATTTCTGATTTTCGTCACTGTTATCCATGTTCACCATATCTTTGTTCAGATTGTCAGCTGTCATTATTTTTTATCGGCGTGTTGGTAAGGAGAAGAAAGCCAAGAAAAAGAAAGAGAAAAAGGAAAGTGTGAAGATAAAATGAAAGTAAAAACAGAGAGAGAGAGAAAGAGAGAGAGAGAAAGAGAAGAAGATATGTAGATGAAATGATAAAAATGTTAAAAAGAATTAGAATCGATTCCTAAAAAATCATCCAAAACTGAGATAATTAAAATAGGACTTGAAAAATTTGTACCCATTTTTTCGTACATCAACATATCAGTGTACGTAATAGACGGATCGATAATTGTGATCGTCCAAACGCAGGCAATGCTGTTACTCAGGTCAGTTTCCACAAAAACGTCATTCGGTGATTTCAGCTCCAGCGTTATATTCGAACTGTTCGTTGTATGGAAGGTCATGTCGTTTAAAACTTCGTCGTTTAATTTGATGTACATGAAAATACTCTCCCAGAAGCCTCTATAGACGGCTTTTAATTTGCATTTTATGCTCCTGCTGAATATTCCGACGAGATAATTTTCTTTGAATAATTTTTTGGAATAATTTTAATTTAAAAATTATACCTCACTTTTGTCGTAATTTTTGTAATAGTTTATGCAATTTTGTTAAAAAATACATTAGGTGTGCTCAATTCCGGAAACTTTTATAGGGTTTACACTACACTCCTTATTAATTAAGTCTTTCAAACACAATACAACTTCTCGAAAATTGTATTATTTAAATTAATTGTAAAAAAAGCGTTCAAAAATACCTTTATAGAGAATGTGTTTGTAGGAAATTTGATTTTTACATAGTAACTTATAAACGCCTGTGGTATTTTCCGAAGCTAAGAAAGAATAATCAGAAGCGTTTTTTATAATAGTGGAAAATTCTACCAGACAGCCTGAAGCAGCGGGCAATTGGAATCTGACCGTGTAATCTTTTATCACTTCCACAACTTCCTTCATGTTACTTTGTATTAAACATTCTTTCAGTTCATTAGTGCAGAAATCTGACGTCTTACCTAATCAATCAATCAATCAGTTGATAAATCAATCAATCAGTTGATAAATCAATCAATCAGTTGATAAATCAATCAACCAGCTGATAAATCAATCAAGCATCAATCAATCAATCAGTTGATCAACCATAATAATGATAATAACAACAACAACAACAAAGTTATCATCTTGCTGTGGTGTAAATAGTTAAAATAAAGTGATCGGATTCAAATATGAAGACACACCCCTTCATCTCGTGCGATGGTTTATGCGATCATTCACAGTGCTAGAAATAGAACTTAAATAAATAAACCAATAAGTTAATTAACAAATAAATAGAAATAACAACGTAGGGACCTTGATTTGTTGCAGAAAAAATCATTAATAATAAAAAGACACTCAGAGATGAAGTTGAATTTGATTCATCGTTTGACATGTACGTGTTGGTTTTTGGGGGCGGTTTTAGTAATGGTATTCTATAAAATATTATTCAATTCATTTATTCATTTGTTAATTAATTAATTGGGTTAATTGGCTCTTTATTTATTTAATTTTCTTATTATTCATAAACATCAACAATGATCGTAGACAGAGACACGTTTTCATTTTAAAATGTTTACCGAACTGAAAGTCTATTCTTTCTTGGTTATTTTTTGGGGGGGGGGGTTTCTGTAACAATACACTTTCATGGCGGTTATGATGATGACGACGACAATGATGACGATGATGACCGTGGTGTGGTGGTGATAATGATGAAAAGGAGAAGGATTATGATGATGATGATGATGATGATGATGATGATGATGAAGATGACAATGAGAATGACGATGATGATGACCGCCAAACAAACAACCACCCACCTCCAGATGTACCAGACCCGCCAACAGACGTACAGTTAGTGATCTGCGACGGCAGGGTGGCCCAACTTCAATGGGAACTCCCAGCAGAGAACAACTCGCCAGTCAGACAGTTCATCATCCAGACAAATTCCTCATTCAAGCCAGACGTCTGGGAAACTTTGAAATCACAGCTGCCCCGAAACCGCACCCACCAGCGAGTCACACTATCGCCCTGGGGCAACTACACTTTCAGAATTCTGGCCGAAAATGCCGTAGGGCTGAGTAAGCCAAGCATGGTGACAAAAGAAATCTGCACGACCGAAGCCGAAGTTCCAAGAATGAATCCGCAAGGTGTCTGCAGTGTCAACCACAGTCCAAACACACTACTCATCAAGTGGCAGGTCAGTTTCAGATCTCGCTATTTACGATTGAAATTTTTATTTTACTAAATTTTTTTAACTTTTCAACTACTGTTTTATTTTTAGCGGGACGTAATCACTAGCATTCAATTAAGTAAATGAAACCAGGAATTGAGATTAATGTATCAAACAATAAACCGTAATAAATGAACCAATCAGCCAGCGTCAACCAATTGTCTGAGAACAAATCAACCAATCATATACAAACTTTCCAAACACCGAGATAAAAAAAAATTTTAATCACCTCAACCTTTAAAAAAAACAGCCAATACCGTTAGAGGAGCAAAACGGACCGGGATTCAAATATCAGGTAAGTTGGATGCGGTATGACAGCAAGGACAGCATCCAGGAATCAACAGTTAACGCCAGCACCAACACATTGCTGGTCTCAGGGGTTTTCATCTTCACCCTCTATGATGTTCACGTGACCTCTATCAACGAGATGGGCCCTGCCATGTCACCACAAAAATCCTACCTCCTCTACTCCAGCGAGGCTGGTTAGGGTGTTTTTGTTGCTCTTGACGTCAGGTCAAGATAATCATCTTTTTATATAAGAAAGTTTAATTTTCAACTTTCTTATATGCTTATTTACGCGTTACTATAATGGAGATTTTAATTAGTTAATTAATTATCCTATTAATTGTTCAATTATTTAAACGATTAATTGGTTTTGATCGATTTAATTGTTAGTTTTATTGTTTTATGTTGTTTCTTTGTAGTAGTTGTTTCTAAGAATAATTGTTGTTGTTATTGTTATTAATATTAATATTAGTATTATTATTCTTAAAAATTATTTTTATTATTATTGTATAAATAATAATAATGTCATAAAAGAACATTATCAATCACATTTGCCGTCAGCAATTTGTTGAAGGAATGTATGGTTAGTTTCCAGGCAGAAATGTGCGCATGTCTCGAGGGTGTAGTCAGCTGGTGAAGTCATCTCGATAGATTTTCTATGACGGTTTTCACACCGGCGTAGTCATCGTGCGTCTTTCGTGGCTTGCTTTTATAAACGGAATATGAAGCACTTCCACCACAGGCATCTCCATTGGCGCAAGGAACATCACACTGGGATGAAGCCACTGCTGAATCTAACCTTCCAATACAGTTGCATTCTTCTCCATTCTTTAAAGCGATCATATTGTTACTTTCATCTATGCACTTCAGCGAACATTCATTCACTGAGCCAACCGATGCAACTTTTTTCGTTGAGCAGATGTTTCGATAGCATCCCAATGTAAGATTCTTTCAAGTCGATTTCTGCATTGGTTTCTGATGTTAAAAAAACTTTATTTATTATTTTTTTGGCATTTGAGCGAGTCAGATTTTTAAAGCGAAATTCTATTGTACGCATGTTTACCATGCTTAAATTGGTTGCAATGTGACGCGATAGAAAATTTAAAACGTCAATTACTATCATGATCTCTAATTTCATTCGAATCCAGGCAGGATATTTTGAAACAAAAAATTAGTAACACAAGTTTACAAAATTTATGAATAAGTTTGTTTTCGTAAAATGTGGTCCTAACAAAATGTCAGATAATATAATTTGATATTTAATTGACAACTCACTCAAAAACCAGCATTTTTTAACCGGCAGTAATTTTAAATGTTTTGACAAATGTTTTCAATTGTTAAACTGTTAAAACTTGGAGACTGGTTCAGATGAATTTGCAGATGAGTCATTTGTGGTTTTTCTTGAATCTTCTTTTTTCTTTCGCTTCTTTTTTGTGAAAACTACACAGCAAGTTAGAAGAGCAAGCAGCAGCACCAGCGGGATTAACACGACTAAAATGATGTGAGTCGTGCGTGGTGAGTCACCCAATGGCCTGCTGTCATTTTTCTCAGTAACCATATTAGTAGTAATAGTTGGCAATTTATTGCAGTGGATGACAGTTGAATATTTTTTCTTCTCTTCTCTGCATGGTTCCGTTCCACACCTTCCGTTAAAGAGGTCGCATCCGGCTTCAAACACTTCCAATTCTGCGAGTGCGGTAAAACCTTCATGCAGTTTTTCATCCGATTGTTGGATAATGACGAATCGTGAAAAGATGGTGAAGTTTTCACAGAAGACAACCATGGGGTTTCCACTTTGTATTGCATTTTCTGGTCCATATCCGCACAAGTTAGTTTGGTTTCTTATGTCGATTTTGGAAGTTGTGTCGAGTGTTTTGTTCAGTCTAACGACAAACTTGTTCATACGACCTACAACTGACAACACTGGAATAAGACTGTTATAGGCTCTAATGAAACCAACGCAGTATAAATTGAGTAGGTCGACAGCCATCCAAGCTGGCATAGGATCATTGATGTGGGATATAAAATATCCATTGTGAATGCCGTCAGTTAGGTATACTTGGTTCTTTGAATACATACCGTCGACTGTTTCTGAAGTCCACAGAGAACTGTAATATGGAGGTTTATGAAGAGCTATATTCTTCCTGAAAACCTCACATTGGTACCACTTGTTTCTGACCTTACCAGGGGGACAGGCGCATTCAACGTACTTATTACCATTCACCGTGGACTCAATACATTCCATTCCAACGGGACAATCTCCTCCACCTGATGAGCAATCTCTTTCTCTGCATGAATCACCTCTCCATCCCGGATCGCATCCATCGGTACAGTCTGCAGTTATTTCGTAACTTCCTTTGTTTCTGTTTCTGCAGTGAGAATAAGTCGATACACCTCGATGGAAATCGTATTGGGAGCGTGTTAAAAATATTGTGGTCTTGGCTTGGTAGTTTTTATGATAACACTCGCAAACTTCGTTCAAATCATGTTTGCATTTTTCACATATCTGTTCTTGCACGAAACCTAGAGTTATTTGATGCTCTTGGAAACAACTGCAACCATCATGTTTGATTGTTTGAAAGAATGTATGATTCGTTTCAAAGCAAAAATGTGCGCACATCTCGAGAGTGAAAGAAGCTGGTAAGATCATCATGATATTCTCAGGTTGACGAATATTCACGCTTAAATAGGAGTCATGCATCACTCGTGGCTTGCTTTTATAAACGGAATATGAATCCTTTCCACCACAAGCATCTTCAGTGTCGCAAGGAACATTACACTGGGATGAAGCCACTGCTGAATCTAACCTTCCAATACAGTTGCATTCTTTTCCACTCTTCAAAGCGATCATATTGTTACTTTCAGTTTGGCACTCCATTGAACATTCATCCACTGAATCAACCAAAACTATAGTTTTTGTTGAGCTGATGTTTTGATAGCATCCTATGTAAGATTTTTTCATGTCGATTGCTGCATGGCCTTCTGAAGACAAGTTGATGAAAATAAATAATAATGATAAGCAAGTTATTGACGGCATTACATTGGGGAAATAAAATTTATTCTGAAAGCAGGAATGTTTATTTCGAGTTATGTTTTCATTTATCTTACGCATTGTGACGCCATAACAATGAAGGATGTTGTTGATGTACGCTTATTTTAAAAAATTACTTTAAAATTATCGGCATTGACTAATTTGTTGTTCGCCTTTACAACTTTTTTAATTGTAGTTTTGTGAAAATCGTTCAAATTTTAAAATTAAAAAAATGATTAAATAAAAAATAGAAAAATAAATAAATAAATTTGTAATTTGTCGTGCACTGACGGCAATTTGGGCGTTCATAGCTGCTCATGTTACTATCAATTTGTATAATTATAAACTAAATTATTAAATTAGATTAAACTAAAATTAAAACAAAATTATTAAATTAAAAACTAAATTATTTTTTAAAAAGTTCATCAGTTAGTTTTATATTCATAAATAATTGATAGATAAATCTTCGCCATATGGTAGAAAAAATTAACAAAAAGTTGTTTAACAAAATAAATCATTTCCATTAAGTATGTTCGTTTAATTCTCTTTCACTGAATAAGTATTCCGTTATATTTTATTATCAGAACAGTTTTGAAAAACGTTTCCTGATTGACGATGACTCCTAATCTTCTGTGTCGGCTTCTAATTGGGTTTCTTCTTCATTTTCTTCTTTATTTTCGTTCTCTTCTTCTTTTTCTTTCTGCTCATTTTCTTCTGGATCCTTCAATTTTTTCTTCATGATGAATCCAACCATGACGGCAAATAAGAACAATGCAGCTACGATAGCAGCTAAAACATACCAGAAATTTCCCAAACTTAGTTTGGACATTTTACTTTTATTGGCGGCATTGGCATATTCATTGAAATATTTTGTATTTTCATTGAATATTTTATTTAAACTTTTAATAATGGTCACTAGAGTAGTGACAAGACAACCACAGCAGATGGTAGTTCTAGTTTCTTTATTCACTTCCACACAGGTCTCATCTTCGCATCTTCCGTTGAAAAGATCGCATCCGGCTTCAAACACCTCCAACTCTGCAAGTGCTGTGTTACCGTTGTGAAACTTATCGTCAGATTGTTGGATGATGACGAATTGTGAAAGCAAAGCAAAATTTTCACAAAAGACGATCATGGGGTTTCCGCTTTGCAGTGCATTCTCAGGTCCATATCCGCACAAGTTGGTTTTGTTTCTTATGTCGCAACGGGAACTTACGTTGAAGGTTTCATTTAGTCTGACAACAAATTTGCTCATACGTTCTAAATGATCCGCGTTATCGGTCCATCTGTTGTAAGCTCTGACAAAGCCAACGTGGTACGAATTGAGTAGATCAACAGCCAACCAGGCAGGATTATTATCACCAATGTGCGACAGGTGAAATCCATCGTACATGCCGTCTGTTAAATATAATGGGTCATATTTAAAATCAACTCCACTAAAAAATTGTGTACTACAATACGATGGTTTGTTTAGAGCTAAATTTTTCCTCATGACCTCACATTTATTCCACTTGTTTCTAACAGTGTCGCGTGGGCAGACACATTCAACATACTCATTACCGTTCACCGTCAGTTGCACGCAGTTCAATTCACTACCACAATCTCCATTCCATACCCTACAATCTCTTTCTCTGCACCAATCCCCTCTCCATCCACCTTCACATCCGTCGGAGCACTTCGTTACCTGGAAACGCTCGCTGCCTCTGTTGTTGCAGTGAGAATAAGTCGACGCTCCTCTTTGGAAGTCGTATTGGAAACGTGTTGCGAATATTACTGTTTCGTCAGACTCATAACCTATATGATGACAATCGCAGATTTCAGCTGGGTCGTATAAACAACTTTGATCACAAATAAAAACTGCCATGTTACCCACTTTGACTGCAAGTTCTTGGAAGCATTCGCATTTGCCGTCAGCAATTTTTTGAAAGAATGTATGGTTAGTTTCCAGGCAGAAATGTGCGCATGTTTCGAGGGTGTAGTCAGCTGGTAAAGTCATCTCGATAGATCTATTATGACGGTTGTCCATACTTGCATGTGAATCGTGCATGACTCGTGGCTTGCTTTTATAAACGGAATATGAATCACTTCCACCACAAGCATCTCCATTGGTGCAAGGAACATCACACTGGGATGAAGCCACTGCTGAATCTAACCTTCCAATACAGTTGCATTCTTCTCCACTCTTCAAAGCGATCATATTGTTACTTTCATCTGTGCACTTCAGTGAACATTCATCCACTGAGCCAACTGAAGCAACTGTCTTCGTTGAGCTGATGTTTCGATAGCATCCTATGTAAGATTCCTTCAAGTCTATCGCTGCATGGGCTACTGAGGACCGGCTGATGAAAATAAATAATAATAATAATAATAATAAGCAAATTATTGACGGCATTACATTGGGAAAGTAAAATTTATTCTCAACGCAGGAATGTTTATTTCGAGTTTTGTTATCATTTATCTTACACATTGTGACGCCATAACAAGGAAAGATGTTGTTGATGTACGCTTATTTTAAAAAATTATTTTAAAATTATCGGCGTTGACTTATTTGTTGCTCGTCTTTTCAACTAAACAACTTGTTAACGGCAACAAAAAATATTTAGCTGTGTTTTCAAACGTAAGGCGCGTCCATTTTGTTGTTTGTTTCAAGCATTGTTTTTAATTGTCTAGCGCTTTATTTTTGTGACGTGATAATAGAAAATAAGTTTATGCTAATTTAAAACTATGTTTAAATAATAATTGTTTATTAAAATTATTATTAAACTATTATTATTAGCTTAATAAATTATTAAAATTAATATTTCCAAGTATAAACTAATTCGACGTGTTGAAATTTTGTTACGCATAATTCAATCGAATAGTATGATAAATGAAGTAGAAATAAATAGTTGCAATGAAATCAGCAGACAGTTCTTCTGAAGAAGACAGCCAGAATATCGTGAATGATTCAAACACTAAATGAAGCATTGACAATCGATGATTCTTTTTTTGTGATCGAACCAGAGCAAAACACAGCAGCAACTTGTCATGATGTGGAACTCTTACCATCTGGGCCACAGATCGGAAGAGCCAGCCGATATTAGCATCAAAAATAAATAAAAATATCATATTGATTTTTTTTAGTAAAATATATGAAATAAGAAAATATGAAATGAGTTATTACGATGCTGATGATGACGAATATATGAATCCTATTACGAGAATTCGTCAAGATTACCAAAGGAAATTAATTAATATGTTTCAGGGCTTAGTTGAATTTTTTTAAATACTCCAAAAAAATCCATTAAAACCGGCTAACATTTATAAAGTAATCAATTTCGCGGCAAACATGGCTAGAAATTTGAACGCTGTTCTCCCTCATGTTCATACTAACTCTTATCACTATACTATTATTATCATTGTCGCTGTTGTCGTCGTTGTGTTGTGTTGTTACTGTTGTTGTTATTGTTGTTGATGATGTCGTCGTTGTTATTGTTGTTGTTGTTGCTGCTGTTGTTGTTGTCGTTGTTGTTGTTGTTGTCATTAGCGCGGTTGTAATTTGTCAGCAGTGTTGATTGAATGATGGAGAGAAGTTTAAAAGGGATTATATTTGATGAATTATCACTAATGGATATTGATGACGATGACGATTGTGACGTTGTTGTTGTTGACGACGATGACGTAATTGTTAATGATGATGATGATTTCGACGCCGTCGGTGATGATGATGATGACGCAGCTGTGGCATTTGTTGACTATGATATTGACGATGACGATGTAGATGATTATGATTATGATGATGATGATGACGACGACGATGTAAGATGATGATGACGACGATGTAGATGATGATGATGATGACGATGTAGATGATTATGATGATGATGATAGTGATGGTGACTGGTTGAGATTAATGAAATTTATAATGATTATGATGATTTTGGACAGACAACGACACATCATCGTCATCATCATCATCATCATTGTCGTCATCACATTATCATCATTGCATCAGCAACAGCATCATTATCAGCAGCAAGACAACAACGTCATAACAACAATGACGTCATCCACTTCATCAACACCAATATATTTTTTAGGAGCACCTGCTACCAGCGCAAATATATATTGCCCATCCATATGTGGATGTGTGTGTGTGCCTGTGTGTGTGTGCCTGTGTGTGTGTCTGTGTGTGTACGTATCCGAAGATTTTATAACACACACACACACACACACAACATAAAAACTGAAGTTAATTCTTTTAAAATTACAATCATTACTGTGTTTGCTATATTCATGGAGCATGTTTCGGCTATATTGTCTATGTTTGTCTATGCTTATGATGTATGTTTGTTTATGTTTTTGGTTTATGTCTGTCTATGTTTATGATTTATGTTTGTTTATGTTTATGGTTTATGTTTGTTTATGTTTATACTTAAACGTGCGCAGTGCATTAACTATGAGCGCCAGTCCAAACCCCAAGCGGACGTACACACTCTTACACATGCACTAGCACATACATACATAATTAAAAACGTAAAAAAAAAACATGAAAATACACCAATATATGCGCGAGTTCGTGTGCGTGTGTGTTCGTGTGTGTATGTGTATGTGTGTGTGTGTGTGTGTGTGTGTGTGTGTGTGTGTCACATTCTAAAAATAGCAGGTTTAACACCGAACAACTTTATGCCTGTCGAATCTGAGCTATTCTTTGGGAAAGTAAAAATTACTACTTTATGTATGATGTGCATTGTCTACAAAACACAAACTTACGAATGCACACACACACTCTCACACACACACCCTCTTTCTCATACGCATACAAACACAAACACTTATTTTCTCTCTCTCTCCTCTCTGTCCTCTCCCCTCTCTTCTCTCTCACTCTCTATCTTACACACACACACGCACGCACACACATGCACATCTACATAGAAAAAAAGTTTGGATCAGGCGGCAATAATGAAATTAGCAAGTCCAGCCGACATGAAAGAATGTAAATCATCAAACATTTCTTCAGTGGTCAGCTAAACTCAATCCCCCACTCAAGTTCTCTCTCTAAACTTTATTTATTCATCGCTGATGTGTTGGTCAGTGTTTTTGTATGCGTGTGTGTGTGTGTGTGTGTGTGTGTGTGTGTCTGTGTGTGTGTACGTGTGTGTGTGTCTGTGTGTGTGTGGTGTGTGTCTGTGTGTTGGGGTATCTACCTAGTTGATACTTTTGAAGTTTTACATTGTATATCTCTTATTAATCTATCATTGCGCTATTGTGGTTTCTATTTTATCCTTCTATCTTTTTCTGCATGAAAAAACATATTTATTTTAGATCAATTTATTGATAATAAAAGACTAAAAAAAATATCTTCTAACAATCTCTTATTAAAAATACTGAAGCAGAAAAATAAAAATGTCCAAAAGCAAAGTACAAAAGAAGCGTTTAAAAATTTAAAATGAGAATTTTTATAATGGCAATTGGCTAATGCGCTAATGTCTTTGTGGATTAGAAGTTCAAATTATGGAGTTCAAATCTGTGCCTATGTTGGTTTGTTGCAGGTACGTATGCCTGTGTGTTTTTGTGTTTGAATGTTTGTGTGACTGTGTATGTTTGCGTGTGTGTGTTTGTGTGTGTTTGTGTGTAGGTGTGTGTGTGTGTATGTGTGTGTGTGGGTGTGTGTATGTGCGTGCCTGTATTGAGTTGAGTGAACGTTGAAAATGTAGAAGAACATCAGAATTGAGAAAAAGTCCATTGTTGAATTTTCTTTAAAAAAATTTGAAAAATTTGAAATTCACAAAGACGTTTCAGTATTATTGTGTGCATTAAGTTTTTGAGAGTGTAATTATGTTACTAGAACTTTTTATTTTCATTTTGAACTCGAAACAGCCAGTTAAACTGCAGAACGTCACCAACAATTACATCAAATTTTTGTAAGGCAGAATAGACACCATCACGACAACAACAGCAAAAACACATTTATCACCGTGACATCAACCAATTAATCAAAAATCACATAAAAACACCGAAAAAACAAACCCCACCAAAAACCGCACCATCACCGCCATCACCCACACCATAAAACAGCCCCTCTGGAAATCCCGCAAAACTTCCGCCTCGATCCAGACAAACCCATCACGGATAAATCGGCCAGTTTCATTTGGTCCAGTGTCAACGAAGGACCCTGGAGAATGCAAGGGCATTACATGGGCTGCAAGGTCTTTTATTTTTTTATTTCTTCATTTGGTTGTTTACTTACTATGAACAATTATTATTTTACAATAATTTTTTACAATAATTTTTAAATATTCGGTATTTTATTACTTACTGTTAATTGATTTATTCACTCATAACAATGATTGTGATTTAATAAAATGTATCTTAGACATAATTTCCTTAGCAAAATTTAAAAATTTGAAATCTATCAAAAGGTTTTGGGGGAAACAAATTAAAAATTAATAATTCATATGACCGATCGCACCCAACAAAACATAAAATGCACCCCAAACAAACAAACCAAAGATACAATACTGGAAATCGGAAGAAGGCCAATCGGAGATTCACGAACACAGCATCTATTTCCGAGAGAAACCTAATTGCTGGAAAAATGAGGCCGGATCTACTTCCGTTTCCGGTCGCAAAAAACGCTCACTAATCGGCAACTGCACTAGCCACACGTACATCGACATCAGCAGCTACATCAGCAGCGACGACGACGACATCAACTGCAACGATAACGACGACGACAATAAAATCACCAGCAAAGCGCTAACATCTCACAACGACTCAGAAAGTTTCCCAAGCAGTAAAACAACAAAAACAACCCAGCCGCCACTACTACATCCTCGACACAACATTCCATCATCAACTCACCAACGAAGAATTAAAATCTGCAATCCGGAAAAATTTCAAAATCGGAATTTCCCAAAAAACCGGAAGCGGCGACAAGAGAGTAGTCCAACAACCCATGGTCACGTGTACAATCTGTGGCCTTACAGCAACATCACAGCGCAGATCGTCGTCATGAATGTTAAGTACTCTGGGAGGCCCAGTGCCCAAGTACATTTCACCACGAAGGAAGGAAGTTAGGGTGTTCTAAGAGATGATGATGATGATTACGATGATGATGGAGATGATGATGGTGGTGGTGGTGGTGGTGATGACGATGTTAGGGTGTTCTTAGAGATGATGCTGATGACGACGATGGTGATGATGATGACGATGATGACGATGATGATGATGATGACGATGATGATGATGAGGAGGAGGAGGATTATGATGATGATAACGATGATGATGGTGATGATGGTGATGATGATGGTGGTGATGATGATGATGATGATGAAGAAGAAGATTATTATGATGATGATGCTGATGACGGTGATGATGATGATGAAGGTGATGATGATGATGTGGTTATTGTTGTAATTCTGGTGGTCAAGATATGAAAGATGTTGGACTTAAACATGATGATGTTAAACGGAAGTGGTATGTGTTTGCGTTTCTCTTCACGTAGTTCATTCATTCGTTCATTCGTTCGTTTGTTCACACGTTTTCTCATTCATTCATTTGTTTGTTTATATTTTCATAAATATCCATTCATTACTCCATTCGATCATTAAATTGTGAGGTAATTCAATTATTTTTTATTTATTCATTCATTCAATCAATTTCACTCTTTCCATCAATCGTTTGTTTTTCGGTAGATTCACTCTTTTATTCATTCATTCAAGCCATATCATTCATTTTTATTCGTTCGTTCGTTCATTCATTCATTCATTCTATCAATTCATTTCATTTTTTCAATCCACTTCATTCCTTCAATTCACTTCACTCCTTCAATCCATTTCACTCCTTCCGCCTATCTTAAAAACACCAGCCAATCAATAACGTCCATCTTCGAATGGATGTTTAACTGTTTTTAATTCAAATTTACGACCAAAACACAGTCACGCATCCAGAGCTTAACACCAAACAAAAATCATTACACACACATACACACACATACATACATACATACATACATACATACATACATACATACAAACAAACAAACACACATTTATACATACATAAAAATAAACAAAAATCCATACACACATACATACGTACGTTAATCTATACACATACAAACAAACAAACATACAAACATACAAACATACAAACAAACAAACAAACATACAAACATACAAACAAACATACAAACATTCAAACATACAAACAAACATACAAACATACATACATGTTTGAAAGGTGAAATGATGATGGACATAGATCCGTTGCTCTTCATTTACTTTTTGAAGTTCTCCAGCGTAGTTTTAACTGAGCACGAAGCACTAGAGATAATACTACTACTACAACTACTACAACTACAACTATTACAACATTTACTACTACTGCAACTACTACTACTACTACAAATATTTCTGCTGCTTCTGTTGCTACTATTACTACTATTACCGCTACAGCTACTACTACTAATACTACTACGAATACTACTGTTTCTGTTGTTGCAGCGACTACTACTACTACTACTACAACTATTACTACAACTACTACAATCATTACTATTACTACTACTACTACTACTACTACTACTACTTTTACTTACTACTACTTTTACTACTACTATCAGCAAATATCAGACAGATAATAATTATATATTAGGGAGAGAAAGGGAGAGTAGAGTGAGAGAGAGATAGGGGTAGGGGGAGAGAGAGATAGGGGTAGGGGGAGAGAGAGAAAGAGAGAGAGAGAAAAGAGAGAGAGAGAATGTTGAAGAGCGACGGGAATGGTGTCAATAACAGAATGTGCGACACCTCCTGAATTATTGATAAACTTTTGAAATAGCTGGGATGCATGTAACATTGCATTTGTACGCGCGCGCGCGCGTT